TTCCCATCTGCCCACCATACCTGTTCATGAAAGCGCTGAGGCGGTGCAAATCTACATAGATGGCTCATTCAAGGACGGCTGCGGCGCTTGGGCCCTCGCATGTTTCTGCTGTCGCGAGGGAGTCTGGGGTTGGGCCGGATGTTTCGCTGACCTTTTTCCTGAGGGTCTTCCCATCGCCTCCGCCTTTGAGCCGGAATTATTTGCTCAGTTTGTGGCGATGAGCATGTGTGCCTCCCTTTCATGTCCGGTTGGCATTGGTTTCGACTCCACCAGTGCCAATGGAGTAGCTCAAGGCGACTTCGGTGCATCGTCGGAACCTGCCTTGGCCCATGCTGCTGTTGCCGTTGCTGCCTTTCTTCGCTCTTCTGGGAACGAGCCTCTCCGATTGCATGTACCGGCGCACACGGGCTTTGCGGCCAATGAGTTGGTCGACTCGCTTGCTAAAGCTGCCCTGGCCTACCCCAGCTGCCGAAGACCTTGTGGCTCTGACATGGCGGTTACCAGCATACTCCAACATGACTTTGATTGGCTGTGGGTGAGGGCCGAGCATGGCCGTAGCAGGGTCTTGCCGAAGATTTCGGATGACGGCATGACTTTGCCTGCCACACCGGATGCAGACACACATGTGCCCGACCGCCCGGCCTTTTGGAGCCCGCCTTCGGATGTGTCCAGACGATCTGGGGCAGGTCGACCGATAGAGCTTAGACTGTGTATACGTACAACACTCTATCCGCCTTGCAGTCGGTGCAGCGCAAGTGCCTTTCGGAAGCCATGCGCACACTTGACATTGATGTCATGGCTCTCCAGGAAACCAGATACTGCGCCCAGGCTACCGAGGTACAGGAGGGCATTTTGAAGCTGGCGGGGCCGGCGCCGGATGGCCAGGAGGGTTGTCAGCTGTGGGTGCGTCTTGCTCCCTCCCGTGTGCCTTGGGACACAGGCGGCTTCGCCATTGTTTTTGCCTCGGCGCGTCTCGTTGTGGTCTACACGACACTGGGCTCTATCCGGCTTGCCTTCTTTGTCTGTCACGCCCATACCTCAGTGTCACCAGAAGAGCAAATCAGGGCCTTTTGGGACCTGGTCCGCACCCGTCTGGCCGCCCTACCCACCGGATATGCGCCCATTTTTCTTGGAGATTGCAACGCCAGGTTTGAGGAAAGGAATGGTCAGCTCTGGCCATGAACCTTAATGCCCAGTGTTTCGAAGGCCTTTGCACGGATTTTGAGCTGCGGCATTCTGGTGTTACCGGAGCTGATGGGCTGCCTCTTTGCACCTGGGTTTCGCCCCATAACCGTCCGGCCTGTTTGGACTTCATTGCGATGCCCGCTTTCTGGACTCATGGCATTTCGCGGCCCACTACTTTGGATTTTCTCGACTTGCACTCCGAAAGGGATCATTGGCCTGTCTCGGTTGATGTCAAGGTGACTCTGCAGGCTCATGCGCCAAGGCCTAAGGGCACGGACATTGAGAAAATGCTAACTCCTGAGGGTCAAGCGGTTATCAAAGATGTTTTTGCCCGTGCTCCTCGTCTGCCCTGGGAAGTCTCTGTTGATGACCATATTCATGCGATCAACGGATACCTGCAGCACGAGATTGCACAGCATTTCCGGCCCTCGGAGAATCGTCCGCGGTGCCCCTTTGTCAGCGAGGCCACATGGGGGCTCATACGTGACAAACGATCCTTGCGCAGGATCCACCACAGGCGTCGCGCCCTTATGCTTAGGGAGCTTCTTGATATCACCTTCCGGGCTTGGGCTGGGAGGTCCGGAGGCCAGGCGCGTTTGTCGGATCCCCGACGCTGTTTCGAAAGGTTGCGGATCAGGGCATTCGTTTTCTCCGTCCTCTATCAGAGGGCGATCAAACAAGTTGCTCTACGCATCAAGGCGTCCTTCCAAGTCGATGCCGCTGCGTTTGCCAAGTTGAGTATGGTGCAGGCAAGGGGGGCAGGACCTGCCCAGTTGGCGCGTTTGCTGCGGTCCATACTTACGTCCGGGCGCTCCTACAAGCCGCCGCGCCAAGCGATTGTGCTCTCCTCCTCCCAAAAAGACATCGTTGAGCCGGCTGCTGTGTCTGCCGCCTTTGGCGTACATTTCGGTCAAGCTGAACGCGCCACTCAGACGTCCCTTCAGGCCCTTCTTGACGCCAGGCGACCCCGTGGCCTTCCTGAAACGGTTATCTGTGACCGACTCCCTTCAGTCCCCGAGCTTGCTCGCTCCTTTGCCGGCCTCAAGCCTCGTAAGGCAGGGGGTCTCTCCCGTATCCCACCGGCCCTTTACAGGGGAGACCCTCTGGGCGCGGCGCTGCTTCACACGCCCATTCTTCTCAAGACTGTGTGCCGGGGCGTCGCGCCAGCCCTGTGGAACGGCAGCATGGCATGCCCCCTGGCCAAGCCAGGTAAAGACCACTCCAAGGTTTCAGGCTTTCGCAGCATCGCTCTTCAGGAGCCCGCCTCCAAAGCAATACATAAATCCTTCCGTACGAGGCTGGTTGACGCTTTTGAAAGCCGGGCGGTCTCTTCGGTCGGTGGGGCCAGAAAGGGGATTTCGCTCTCCATCCCAGCCCTGACTGTGCAGACGCATTTGCAGTACGCATCTCGTCGGTCTCGCTCATCTGCGGTCATCTTCTTGGATGGGGTGTCTGCTTTTTACAGCACTGGCCGTATTGCTTTGTTCCAGCATGACAGAGAGCAATTCATCCAGGACGTCATGCGTCTACCAGTTGAGCGTGACCTTGTGCACCGTTTCCTCAGGCACCTCCCTCCGGAAGGGGCATTGCTCCATGCAGGCGTGACCACTGAAGTCCATCATGCCATCAAGTGCTTTCTTTCGGGGACTTGGTTTACTACAGATGCTTCCAACGATCAGGTTTATGCGACGGAAGTTGGGACAGTGCCGGGAGCGCCACTTGCAGATGTCCTTTACCAGATGGTCGCAAATGCGGCTTTGCTTGCAATTGAGGAGACACTCCAGGTTGAGGGGGTGACGGCCTCTGTGACTATCGGGGATTGCCGCTCTCATGCAACTCCGGTTACCTGGCTCGATGATATCGCCTTACTCATCGAGGCGAAGGAGCCCGGGGACCTGGTCGCCTACACTGCTCGAACCGCCAATGTGGCCAGACAGTGCCTGCTCTTGCTGGGCATCGAGACCAACTTCGGGCCTGGCAAATCCGAAGCGCTTGTCCTCTACAAGGGCAAACACAGCAAGGCCGCCAAAAAAGAGCTCATGATCAATGATGGCGCTATGATCAGGCTCACCACTGAAGGAATGCCGGATGTTTTTCTTCGTTGCGTCGCCTCATACATTCACCTGGGGTGTGTTCGCAGCAGCAGTGGATCCCCATCCTCTGACATCCGTCGCCGGGCTGGCTTAGCGCGGGCCAGTTTCAAGCCTCTTCGGGCCAGGCTTCTTCGCAACGTGCACTTGTCAGTCCCTGAGAGGATTCAGTTGGTGGTTGGAACTGTCCTCTCCTCCTACTTGCATGGCGTCGAGACCTGGACGCTCACCAATGACAGCGACTACCAGCTCTTTAGGAAGCACTACATGGGTTTCCTTCGCGGCTCTGTTCGACCCATTCTCGGGGTGCCCTGTAAGAGACTCGCTGACGAGGAGGTATGTTGCCTACTGGGCATATCCACGCTGAGAGAGGAGCTGGCCATTAGGCGCCTCCGCGCTTTCACACAAGTCTGCACGTTTGGCAACGATTTCCTCCAGGCTCTTCTGCTCTGCGACCAGGACTGGCTGAGACGGGTTCAGTCGGATGCGGCTTTGGTCGCCAATGGAGCTGCGGTACCACAAGGATTCCTTCTGACAGGGCCGCCACAGAAAGTCTGGTTTGAAGGGTGGCCTCTCACCCGTGAGAGCTGTGCGATCCTGCTGCGCCGTTTTAGGAAGGCGATGATCCACCAAAGGATGGCGGCGCGTGAAGCTTGCCTCCAACGCGCCACTCGACATCGTGCTGCGGAATCGTTGGGCCTCGCCTACTTCTCGTTCCTGGAAGTCAGGCCTCCTCTGCAGGACGATGACGCCCTCCATGCGTGCGGACACTGCAGTATGATGTTCGGATCTGCAGCAGCAGCCGGAGCCCACCGCCGGCGTGCACACGGCGTGGCAGCCAGACACGCCATTGCCTTCGGGACGGCCTGTCAGATCTGCCGCAAGCAGTTCTGGACAGGAGCTCGACTAAGGTTGCATTTGAAAACCAATGCCGCATGTGCCATCACTACGGCTGAAAGTGACATTGTCGAGCCACCCGTCCCAGATGACAGCTCAGTGGCCCACTTGCCCGTGGCTCCTTTGATAGGACCAACTCCTTGGTGGGCGACATTGCAACCTGCCACCACCACCTCGACTTCTGCAGGTGAGGGCTCCGTTGACCTTCTTGAAGATGCTAGGCGGTTTCGCGACGACCCGCTTAGTAAGGGATTCTTCAGGGCCTTGTGGCGACTCTCCCAATTAGGCTCGGCCTCACAACAGAGGGCTTTCACCGCTACTTGTGCAGTTGGTAGCGACGCTCTCCGTCTCGCATGTGCCATTTCGAGCACGGCTGATCTAGAGAAGACAGGGTCCATGTGTACAGTTGGGGCTCTGGCTTTCTTCCGGGATGAGGAGGCATTTTGGACTGGCTCCGCCAGTGACGTTGCGGCCTTCGCCGCTAGCAACTAGCATGTTTCTTTCGAATTCACGAGCGCGACTTACGTCACCAGCCCCTCCCGGAAAAAAGGCCACTGCTTCGACATCTTCGACATTTGTTGAAGCCATATGATGTTTGTCAGCATCCCCAAAACTCTTTGCTTCTCAACCTGCATGCCTCGAGCACGACCCCCAGGTTTCCTCCGTCCTACAATCCTATCTGAGAGGATGGACCTCCAACACTACTTGGGTGGGTCCTCATAGTCAGGATCCAGCTACTATATAGGGCCTGTGTTTCAGCCCCCTGTTTTCTTTGGGAAGCCTTATATAAAACGGTTCTCTTACTTTTCCCCAGAGCTCTAAAGTGAGGTTGGGCAGCCGCGGGAAACTGGAGCCATCGGGCTGGGCTCTAAGAGTCTGGCGCAGCACTGCACAGAAGGTTTGGCCTGCTGTATGGGACTAGCTTTTGAGCCTCCCAGGTCCCTTATGCTTTTTTGTTGTTTCCGATAGGATTGAGTCAGTGTCTGGAGAAATTCCCATCAAGACACCTCCGCCCCAGACCGTGGAGCCCTGAACCCTGAGCCCTAAACCCTGAACCCTAAACCTCACAACCCCGAACTCGAAGCTGTAAAGCGCTCGATCGTCCTAGCCCCGAAGTCTTTCAGAGAGTTTGGAGCCATCGCTTGCAGATTCCCCCTGGGCCCACCATGAAGGATTTATGAGTTGTTGACACGCAGAATCTGAGTCTAGGGTTTAGGGTTCAGGTCTTTACGGTTTAAGATCTGTTCAGGGTTTAGGGTTTAGGGTCAGGTCTTCAGGGTTTGAGATCCGTGCAGGGTTTAGGGTTTAGGGTTCAGGTCTTTAGGGCTTAAGTTTACGATCTGTTGAGGGTTTATCGTATAGAACTTAGGGCTGGGGTTTGTTGTCCCAGGCAAGCCTGGAACTTGAGACTTGAGACCCAGCATTCTCGACGTGACGCAAAGCACCCTGAGTCCCCTAAACCCTAAGCCCTAAACCGCTACCCGTTACCCCGAAGTCTGGACCCTGAAGCCTCCTCAGCTACCGAGGCCCCTCGTCTTCGTGCCGCAGATGCTCTTCTCAGGCGCTGGCTGAAGTGCTCAAAGCAAGCCACATGAAGACATCCTGCATTTATTGTTGGTTTCTGTTCGGGATTTGCAAGCAATGTGTTGAAGGCAGATGGATCAGATAGGGCCACTCCTTTCCTGAAGGCTCAAGCCTTGATGGATGACCCCGAAGCCCGGCCGGCAGCCCAAAAGACGGAACTCCAAAGTACGGCCGTCTCACCGCCTCCGCTCACCGTCGCATCTTCTTAGATCCCTACAACAAAACTCCAAAGTCGAAACTTGAAGCACTACTGCCCTACTTCCTCGAGCTCAAGCCCTAAAGCCCGTCCTGGGTGTGTTCTCCGTCGCCTCTTGCGGGGTCCTAGTCTTGCAGCTCTGGGAGACACCCCTGCAACCCAAAGTTTCATGGACGCCTCCCAGCAGAAAGGGGGGGCCTGAAGGCTTTGGAATCCCACAACTTACAGTTCGACCCTAAACTCTAAGCTCGATGCCCCCAAGCTCCCCCCAAGCTCCCAAAACCCCCCAAACACACCAAAGGTCCAAAGGGCCCTCCAAGCCTCGGCTTGAAGGCCCGAAGGTTCAGAGGCCTGATCCCTATCCCGGAAACCCCCTGACTCTGCTTTGTAAGATGTCTAGGTTTTTATGGGTACATAAACTCAATGGGGAATAGAAATTTACATTCCAAATACTATCCCAACCATGAACTAGCATGGCTCTCCAAAGCTCAGAGGCCCTAAGCCCTTCAAGTACACTACGTTGAGCTACGGTTTTGGGCTTTCGGGTTTAGGGTTTGGGGTTTAACTCTTTAAGGACATGTTCAGGAGTTCGTCTGTCAGCGGTATCAAGCTTTGAGCAATGAAGAAGTCGCAGTATGGAAAGCACAGCACCGTCAGTTGTTATTCTTGTGGGTAACCGTTTGGAGCTTCCAAACCCGGGCTTAAAGGCTGCAGTAGGGGAAAAAATGCTGTGCAGAGTTTGAAGCTTTAGCATTTCCGGTTTGGCTTTACACGGTTGTACTCTTTCGGGCCGTGCCTGTCTCGAAACGACTCGCTGTAGGCATGGAGTCTCCTTGCTGCACCGCACAGGTGTCTTCATCCCGGTTAGCCACATGCCAGGCCTGAAATGCTTCAAGTGCTCCGGCCTCTCCTTTCAGCTGATCCTCTGATCGGGGCTCCCGTTCTCTGGCCTCACTGAATTGCAGACCTAGTTTCGATCCACTTTCCCCCCTCAAATCGAGATCTTTGGTGTTTGGGCTAAGGGGGGTTTCGTGTTGTGGGTAAGAGCTCAGGATTGGCCGCCAGCATCTCGTGAAAACACATTCTCCTACATACTCAAAACGGAGAACTGCCTGGTAGAGATGTCAGAAGGAAAGAGGAGCAGTGCGAACTCTCAAGCCCGGCCCCCCATGGCCTACCCTTAACTCCTAAACCCTGAGCCCCAAACCCCACAGCCAAACAGCCTGCACATCGGTAATTATACATATCCTGAGCCATCAACTCAATAAGCTCTGCAGACAAAATCCTGGAAATATAGCCCAGAACTCCAAGATTTGACGCGCAGTTCTTGAGAATTCAACCCTGGACACCGGAACCCCCCCCCAAAACGCTAAACCCTGAACTCCCCAACCCCAAACCCTAAACCCTGAACCCTAAACCCCAGGCCCCGAAACCCTCCAAAAGCCTTCAGAGCTGCAGTTTACCTCCGATGGATGCAGTACTGCAGCTTCCTGCAGCCGGAAACTTAGAGGTTTTGGGGTTTTTAGGGTTCAGGGTTCAGGGTTTGGGGTTGGGAGTCTGCAGTCTAGGGGTCCAAGAGTCTCAGGAGCCTAAGAGTCTAAGAGTTAAGAGTCTGAGTGTCTTAAGAGCCTAAGCGCCTAAGAGTGAAGAGGTCCCTAAGGCCTCAAGATAATCGCAGGTCTCAGGTGCAGGATTGCTGGCTCTGAAATTCCCGTAATTAGCCAATAACCCCTGAGCCGTAACCCTCCTGGACCCCTTTGGATGGAGTTGCAGGGTTTCTCTCAGATCTTTGCAGGGTTCCGGCTTGGCCGGGGTTTCATGTAATGACTGTACGAAATATTCTTGTGATAGTTGAGTCGGGAGCCGACCCTTGTTGGGCTGGGTGTACCCTCGGGTGTGAGCCTCGACCTGAAACCGGTAGCCCTCAGTCGAGTTTGCTTTCTTGTCAGGCGACGAGAGCTGAACGGAACCCAACATGATTCTAATAAAAAATTCCGAATCTTGAGCCACGTTAAACCCGGAAGCCTTACATCCCTGAAGCCGATTTGGCTGCTCGAGGTATGCCATCAAAGTGCTTGGCATTGTTGAGTTTCAAAACGTGCCGCACAAGGAGCTCGTCCTGGATGCGCAGGACTCTCCCACGACGTGCAGCATCTTTGCTCACTCCTTTCAGCGTGCGTATCCTCGCAAGATTCACAGGAATCCTACATAGAACCGAGCAGTAGACATGATGATGATGGCCTTGGTTTGAGCGTCTAATTCAACCTGAACGTCGAGACAGGGCTTCATGTGTCGGTTTGAGAAGCAAGGTCCCACAAGGAAGTGAGAGGCAAGCAGAACAACACGCCAACCACAAGCCCTCCACACAGACTGCATGCAGGCCCTCAGTCCTTTACTCTAAGACTCTAAGCCACTACACCCACAACCCCAATCCTGTCCTCCATAAACCCTAAACCCTAAACCCTAAACCCTAAACCCTAAACCCTAAACCCTAGTACGAAAAGAGAGCACGACGGGGATGTCGAGGCACAGAGTCTCAGAGTGCAACGCTCCAGGAAGGAGGGCGGTCTAGATCCTCTAGTTTAGGGGTTTAGGGTTTAGGGTTTAGGGTTTAGGGAAGTGAGAAGAATCAGTAGTAATAATGGACATGCGAAAAAGTAGTTATCGTGCCAGAGGATGCGTTGGGAAGGGGGAACCCTAAACCCTAAACCCTAAACCCTAAACCCCAACACCAAACCTCAAACCCTAGATCCCTAAACCCCAAACCCTCGAAAGCTGCAGAGGCTCTTGGATTCGAGAAGCTTCTTTGCATGGCCTCGAAGCTTTGGGATTCCTTTCGCTTAGGGCTCATGGTTTGGGATTGGGGTTTTGGGTTTAGGGCTTTGGGCTTAGGATTTGGGGATATGGAAGTTGGGTGAGAGCCCACCCACGACGAGCAGAGGCATGCGATCACACCCTAAGAGGCCACGGACCTTGTTGTTGCTGGCCTCGTGTGGACTTTCAGGCAAGTGCCAGACAACACAACCTCGAAGCACGGTGCATCGCATAATGTTGGGGCTTGAAGAATGGATGATAACTCTCCCTTAGAAATGGTACACTGTGTCTTGATGCTGCAATAGAACCCAAAGGCCTCATCAGGGTCCCTACATTACACAATGGAGGGTTCCCTGTGCGCGTCTCCCTGCAGGACATCAGCGAGAAAAACCTTTCTTTGTACGTAGGCAAGGGAGGGTTTAGCGCTTGCAAGACTTCAGGACAGGTTCGGATGGTAGGATTCAAGGCCAGGGGCTTACGATTATTGTTTCAATCAGGAAGGCCCTCCTGGTTCCGACGAATTTCGAGTGATTTGATGCACCTCTCGCCATATGCACTTGTATTGTTCCTAATTTGTCGACGATTTCTCCTAGCAGTGGCTTCGTTAGGCCGTGGGGAACCAGCATATCGTAGAGCTCCAATGTCAGGCATTGGCATCACACAGACTCCAAAACCCCTCGATGGAGCAATATACCCTAAACCGAGGAGTCCTTCATGAGATTTACGATGTTTAGGTGTTGGACCCTGAAGATGTTTTGAGTGTATCGAGTTTCTGGAAACTCCGGGATGGAAGTCCACGCCGCCCTGTTTAAGATGAGCCTTTCAAACTACCGGAACCCCGGACCCGACACTTCGAAACCCCACATTTTCGGATTCTTCTGTCTTCCAGAATTGAAGAAGCCCCTCAGAGCTGCGTGTGGCTTCTTTTGTTGGAGAGGGGGGTTAAGGGTCCCTTTTGCAGGCTTTCTCGTCGGCCTGGTAGTTGCCTCGGCTCTCGCGTCTTTTTCGGGACCCTGTAGACGGAGGATGGAGGGATTTCGGGCTTAGCCTTTGGGGTTTGGGTGTTAGCATTTACCGTCTAGCGGGGTCGAAGGTTGAGGCTGCAGGGTGTTCAGGGGTTCAGAGTTTACCCTTGTGTCTTTGGGACTTCCGGTTTTTGGTTTAGGGGCATCTGTTTTGCGGGTTAAGGCCGTTTGGGGTTGGGGGTTTGCGAGACAGGGGACCTGAATGAGTGCTATACCGAGATTCTTCCTTGGGGAACCCTAAACCCTAAACACCCCCTTAAAACCGAAAGCACAATGAACCCATTCCAGGATCGAAGGTCTTTTTGTCGGAGCTCCTTGGTTTAGGGTTTTGGGTGGTTTCGGAGCTGGTTCGACGTCTTCGGGCAAGAGGCTCAGGTTAAGACTATAGTTGGGGATGAAGAGCATCATCCCATTAGCTGTGCTAGGGTCAGTAAGCAGCACTTGGGACAGACGGCTGAGTACCCTAAACCCTAAACCCTAAACCCATACAGCCCTACACCGTTACAGCCCGAAATCCCTAAACCCCGAAACCCGAAACCGGTTCTAGGGGTGGGCAGACTGAGGTTCTCTTGTTCTCTTTGACGGGCATCCAGATGCTGAGAAACAAGGCGACCCATCTCTTCTGAAGTGGAAGTGGCAGCATGGGACGGACCGGCCCAAAGGGTTTAAGGTTTAGGATTCAGGGTTTAGGGTTTAAGGTTTAAGATTCAGGGTTGCAGGTTTAGAGTTTAAGCCACGCCCTAAAACCCTATGTACATAACGTCCTGCTGCCGCCGGCAGCTGGGGGGCGTCTCGCAAATGTGCTGCACAGTGCTTGCGCAGTGTCGGACCACCAGTCAAAATCCGAAGGCTCAAGGGCTGAAGCTTGAGGGCACCCATAAAGTCTCTCCAAACTTCCACTATAATGGATCAGTAAAGTCCCTTTGCTATGGGGTTTAGAGCCTCAGGGCAAGCCAGGGCAGATCATTGATGAGGCTCCCAAAAACATCGGTCGCAAACGGTTCCGGAGGAAGAAATGAGTGAAATCGTTGTCTAGAAACAAGATCTACCTGGCATTTTCAAAAATAAGGCGCCCAAATATGGACCCTAAGGTTTGATTATGGCCATTGACGTACGGATCTTAGAACCCCTCCGACTTTCAACCGGTGAGAGATGGGAGTTTCGGAACCGGAGGGCCGCATGACAAGAACAGAATCGTGGGATCCTGACTTTCATTGAAGAGAAATTTGTGAAGGAGTTCCTATCTTGAACAAACCCATGAACCCGCGCAAGAGCCTCAGGAACCCCCTTGTAAGCCACAAGAGCTGAATGCTGATAGTGATAATTCGCAGTAATTTCGGTGGTGGGACAATAGTAAGAAATAGCCCTGGTAGCAATAGACATACTTCTTATTGGCAGGGGTGCATTGGATCATACAGCTGATAGCATACTTGCAACATTGCTTTCATTTTCGGCAGAGGGGGAATTCAATGCAGTGGGGCCCAGCTCCTCTCACGCTGGACCAATCTGTCACTGCGCGGCAGACCTTCGCTTGGGTTCGATGGTGGTAGGGGTATCAAAAGTTTAAACCCAAGGATCCAAACCTATAAGTCCGAAACCCCTATGCCGTGGAATCGGAATCTAAACTCCTTGAGGCCTCAGATGCATCCCTAAGGTGCACTGCTGCAGGCACACCTCCTACCCCTGCTTTGACTACGAGTGCGACTACTACTACTGCTCCTGCACTACTACTGCTGCTGCTGCTGCTACTGCTGCTGCTGCTGCTACTACTATTACTACTCCTGCTGCTGCT